AAAAAAAAAAAAAAAAAAAAAAAAAAAAAAGTTAGAGCATGATCTTTTGGGTTTTTATCAGATGCTGCCAGTTTTCTGCAAACCTCATTTTAGTTGCTTTTCAGTTCCTGGTGTTTTCAGCCACATTTGAAAGTGCTAGATACCCTGTAGTTCCTTTCCTCATCACTAGATTATAAAGCTCACAGTGAAACAGGGAAGTGAGAGAAAGAGAGTGTCATAAGGTTGAGGAGGAGAACATCAATGAAGGATTAATGTTAGAGAGCTCCCTAGGGACAGCAGGTGAAAAAAAGCATTTACTTCTGCTGCCCTAGGACTTGTGAACAATGCTGTTTGGAAATGGGAACTCTGGACATGTACTGTGTGTAAACTGGTGGAAGCAGAAAAGTTATAGCTTTATTTCAGTGTCCTGTATGATCTAGCCTGCATTTGTTATCTGTGAGGAGGTGGGACTAGAAGAAAGGCCAAGAACCTAATGGTCCTTAATAAAACTGGCATTTCTGAGAGGAGTCTATTGGGCAGGCTAAGAAAATACAAGAAGGGATGAGATCTGCAAAACAGTCAGACTTCACTGAATCTAAGAGGTAAATCTGTGAGCCATGGAAACAATTACTTCGGATGTCTTCAGGTTAGATCCTCTGATGTATAATAAACTGTAAGCATTGACAGAAGATTTTTCTGCTTTCACATCATCTTCCCAGGTGGATTCTTGGTGCCTGGTAAGGCTGGTTTGCATTGCAGCCTTGGCTGTAGTGGTAGCTACGCATCTGGAATGGTCACATATTGCTATGAAATCTGTTGGAATTGAGCATCTTTCATGTGATTGTATTTGTGACATGTAAGATTGAAATATTTCAATTGGATTAACAACTTATGTGATGTGGTCAGATTCAGGTAGGCATATGCACTTACATACAAGCAAAAGGCTCGTTTGCATCCTTGGGGTATAGATTAAGTGAAAAAGAAGAGAGTAGCATCAGGAGTTCATTAATGTAGAATTTGTCTGCAATCCCTCATAGAATCTGCACACACTTCTAGACTGCCTAGATCTTAAAGGACTCTAGAGAAAACCATATGGAGCAAAAACACTGTTTGTGTTTGTTACTGACAGGTTAGTTGACTGCTTACGAGACTTTGGGCCAGCAGACTTGCAGCTGGCTTGTTTGATATGCAAAACCCTCTGGAACTACAGTGAAAACATCACAAGTGCAGCCTTGTGTTTTGGAGAAGATACTGACACGTTGCTGATGCTGCTCACATCACTCTTAGGTGAGATTCACATTGTTGATGTATTTTCCGTAATAAGTGAATTAGAAGGAGCAAAATCAAAATGGTATTGTTTGGATGGGAAGTCTGTCATGGATCTGTAAGTGGGTTGGCCAGTATAGACTGTCCAGGAACACAGTGGTTTATTGACACACAGCACACTTCCTGAGATTTTGCAGATTGCCAAAATGGAGTTGGCCACTGCTACTCCCCTCTTTAGCCTGTCTAATCAGCATGCCACTCGTGCTTTTCACCAGCTGCTCTTTGGCCTGCTTGAGCCAACTGTCAGCACAAAACATGCTTTTCTCTGGATATGAGCCCTTCTGGCCTCAAAGGTATCACAGAATCACAGAATGGCCAGGGTTGGAAGGGTCCTCAAGGATCATGAAGCTGCAACCCCCTTGCCACATGCAGGGCCACCAACCTCCCCATTTAATGCTAGACCAGACTGCCCAGGGCCCCATCCAGTCTGGTCTTGAACACCTCTAGGGACATCCACCACCTCTCTGGGCAGCCTGTTCCAGTACCTCACCATTCCCTCTGTAAAGAATAATTTCCCCCTGACATCCAACCTAAATCTCCCCTCCCTCAACTTCAAACCATTTCCCCTTGTCCTGCAGTTACCAACCCTTTCAAAGAGTTGATTCCCCTCCTGTTTGTAGGCTCCCTTTAGATACTGAAAGCCTGCAATGAGGTCACCCTGCAACCTTTTCTCCAGGCTGAACAAGCCCATCTCCCTCAGCCTGTCTTTACCTATGAAGATCATCTTCATGGCCCTCCTCTGGACCCTCTCCAGCAGCTCCCTGTCCTTTTTTGCACTGGGGGCTCCATGCTTGGATGCAGTATTCCAGATGGGGCCTCACAAGAGCAGAGTAGAGGGGGACAATCACCTTCCTGCTGGCCACCCCTCTTTTGATGGAGCCCAAAGAGTGAAAGAGTAATTGCAGCTCTTTACAGAAGCAGTTTGGTGCTGCTGCATGGCACATGCTGGGCTGTCTGGGGAATGTGGCTGTCCCTTCAGAGGCAGAACTGTATGACAGGGGTTCCTTACTGCCTTGCTTTTCTCACCAGGATCTCCTGAAGTGCAAGGACAACATCCTGACGATGTCGTTGTGCTCTATTTAATGTACTGCAATGGAACTGGAAACTTTACAGCCATGATCATACTTAAATTTTCTGGCATGCAGCAATGAAAGTATCTTTGTTTTGGATAATTCTGAAATATTTCTTCCTCTACATTTAACGTTGCTTATTCCAGCAATAAATTTGACTGCAGAGTCAGGCTGTGTAGCAGTTGGAACTCTCATTAAATAGTACAGCTTTCAGAGTCTGGACGCTCATGTACAATCACCATTCCAGTTACAGAATGTAGCAGCAATTAATTACAAATAGGTGAGAAGTAAATCAGAAGGCTGGTCTTCCTGCAAGCTGTAGTCAGAAGAGTAACTTTAGGGAAAAAAAAAAGCAGCTCACTGGATCTGGTTCCTCTGTGTGTTAATATCTTAACAAATTTTTAGCAATAGCTTCTGGTTACTATTGTCCTACATCTTCCTCCTCCCATTGTGTCCAGTAACAGCCTTGAACTGTCATCACTCTGATTCTATCATTCAGGAAGCAGGAGGCAGCTTCTGACAGGCAGTGGACTGTACTTCAGCATTGGCACACCCTCAGGAAGCTGAACAAGTACTGCATGGCAAAGCAGATACCTCTGTTCACCTGCTGTGCTTGACCTCCTCCTCTGTATTTCTCTTTTCCATACCTGGAACAAGATGACAGGAGATTGGAATGAGCCAAAGGGGAGTGGAAATAGCATGAAAAGATGTGAGGACCAAGAAAGTGAAGCAAAGATATCACTTCTCTTTTCTCCCTGCCTATTCCCAGCAGGCTGAGCTGCCGTGGCACTGCTTTCCAATAACGCTGTCATTTGCTTTTCTCAGCTGCTCTCGAATCTTGTGTCACTCTTTGGGCTCAGAGCTCCTTGCAATTGGCGTTTCCTGGCCCTGTGCAGTGGCTCCACCTTGCCCCACTCCCTCAGGATTAGCAATGGAAATGAGTCTCCATCCTGAGAACATCCTTCTGTGTGATCATTCAGTGAAGCCTCCTTTCTCTCTCTCTTGTTACAGACATTTCTTCTGCTCACTTGTACCTCCCCTTTCAATTCCAGGAGCTTATTTTGGAGTCGTAGTACCTGTGAATTTTTACAAGTCCAGTGCTCCCAGCCCCTGTCCTGATGGAGCTGCAGGGATGGGGAACCCTTGCAGACCAGAGGCAGTACACTATTTTTCAGCTTTCCCTGTGGCATGTGGACCCAGTGTGCATGTCCTGTTCCTGGGCGTGCAGCCAGCTCATATGCTGTTTTGACCAGTATCCAAATTTGCTTGTTTTGAGGAGGGTCGTGGGAAACTTCTATTATCTGAAGATGCACAGCTTGCATGTGGGACATTGGCCCTCACTGATCCCCCAGCATTACTCATGTTCTATTGTGAGAAATTTACTGTTTTGTTTTAACACTTCAGCTTTGGAATGATTCTGCCCCTTTTTGCTCTGGGCTGGTATCACTGATTCCACATTTTAGACCTATAAAGACGCAGTCAGCTTCTGGGTAGGAGGTCATTTCAGGAGTAGGCAAGGCAATTCTGCCTGAAGAGAAGAACCATAATCCCCTATTTTTCTCCTCAGGATCTCTCACTGCTGGTCTGCAGAGATTCATTTTGCATACGCTGGGCTAACGGGCCATTAGTAAGGCAGGAGCCAGTGGGCACAAGCTGCAGTAAGAACAATTCCAATTAAATATTAGTTAAAAAATAAAAAAAAATCTACTCTGTCAGGAGCCAAGCAGAGGAACAGGTTGCTCATAAAGACTGTGGAGATTCCATTCCTGGAGATTCTCCAAACTCAGCAGTAGCTAGACCAGAACAATGGATCTAAGGTGCTCTGGTCTGGGCATGGCTTGGCCCAGGTGTCCTCCAGAGAGCCTGTCCAACTTAAATCATCTCATGGTTCCACCAGATACAGATCGGATGCCTTAGGCTGGATTTTATCTCTTATTACAGGGCTTCTTCTTGCAGAGATGTGATGTTTTCCTTCTTGAAATAATGAGGGGTTTTTTTCCTCTTTCTTTTTTTACGTTGTCTTAAGTGGCATTTTCCTTCTGTGTAGAATGCCATGTTAGACTAACATCTCCTTCACAGTCAGCAGGTCTTAATTTTGATCATTGAGAAACACCGTAGTGGCTTGGAAATGTAATATTGTTTGCTGTTACTGGTAACTTCCTGTGAAATGGAGCCGTCCCCATGCACGAGTAACACAGTTTCTTACAGCTGTTGCAACTCAGGGTATCTGCTCTGCACCAGCAGCCTTTCTTTTACACATGAATAGTTGCTATTAAAGTGTTAACTCAGTGTGAGTAACCAAAGTTTCTCTCCAGCTCCGAGCTGTCTTTTACTGCTGTGAGAGTGCAGTAAGCTCTGCTTAGGTTTAAGAGATTGTGAATCTGCTGCTTTCACCATCTCGGATCAAGATTAATCATGCTGCCCGTTAGTTGGAGGATTACATCTTCATTTTGGCCCGTTTGTGGCCTAAGTGCTGTCAGATATCCTTTCTGTTAAGTTATGCTGAACTCCTGGATGGAAACGTTTGTTCAGTGTTATCAGTTGTGTTTGTAGATTCCTGTTGTAGGTGTATTCTACTGGCTGCAGACTTGCTTCTTTTTTCCTGTAAGGATTTGTTACTTTGTTACATGCAGGTAAAACAGAGGGGGAAGAACACTGGATGATGTCTTCCTTTCATTCCTAACATCACTTGTCTCCGTTAAGACTGCCCAATTATTTTATTTATGCAGTTTGTGAGTAAGGGAGGCCATCAGTAATATATTGACTGGTGTGGTTCAAATGCTTTAAGTACAGTAATGGGTATAGCTTGATAAAGTCTTCAAAAACTAGATTGGCAAAGAAATTTGTGCTGCAGGAAAAAAAAAAAAAAAAAAAAAAAGCCATAGTTAAATGAATAGGATTACTGGCATTAGCAAAATTGCTTTGGGTACTGCTAAAACTGATGTAGTTTCCAGGCTGATAGTCACAACAAATGCTTGGGCTCAGAGCCACAGCTGAGCTGTGGTGTTGAGAGAAGATTATAACCTGCTATGTGCTTTTTGCCATTTTTCTGACTTCAACATCCTTTATTTCCAAGTAAAGCTACGTCCTTCAGAAAGTGACGCTTCATTTTTTCTTAAGTGTAGAATTGGTTTGAAGCTGTGAACATAGACAGCTGCTAAGTTGTATGTGCTGTGGTCATAAAATACATCATTGGGTGAGTTCAAAACTGATGATGTTTTCCTTGGTTACAGATGAAGAGCTTGCGTTGGGCTACAGCCTTGACAGAGGGGACCACCACAAACTATACTGGGAAACAGAGTTCAAACCTGTGGCAGAAAAACTTCTGGGCAGAATTCAGAGCCATCGCTCCTCTGTTTCCACTGCGATCATTACTGCATTTTAATCTGTTTGGGGCTTTTGTTATTTGTGGATTGTACAGATATACTTATGCAATGTATGTTGCCATTGGTAAGTGTATTGGACAGCACAGGAAGTTAATGTTTAGAAAGCTGGTAAAGCTTAGTATTTATATAAGGGATACTATCTTTTTATGGGGCTTGCCTGAAATTTTTGCATTGTAATTACATTTTAGAATATATTTGAGTTTCTCAAGCACCCATTCAGTAAGATTTTTCTTGGCTGGCAAAAAGAAAGAAAACTATTTGCTGAATCTCTCATTTTAAAAGGGGAGTTATCAGTGGATACCTGGATCCTGTGTCCCATAAAGGAATATTGCTTGTTAGAAGCAATCTGTTACCCAAAGACTTGGATGCACTTTTACTCTATATGAAATTCTGCAACAGAATAACCCAAGTGCTAGGGTGGGCATACTGGAGTGTTATATCATGGGATTCACTCTTCACACTGAAGGCTCTCACAGTCAGAGGAAAGTTGCTCTTCTGCGATCCCCCTTTCTTTACCTGATGCCATGTCTCACATCTTTCTTTACCTTATGCCATGGGCTCACATCTCCATGCATGGGGCAAAACCAGGGCAGCCCCTTACATAGTTCACATTCCTTATGAGGCTTATTAGGCTCTTGGCCTGTTCACTGGCTGTGTGGTCGCCTCCATTGCAGCAGTCTACAGAATAGAGCTTAGTACGGTTTGGCTCTGACAGCAGTTCTGCTGAATTCAGAAAGATCTGTTCTTATCTTTGATCTATTCCTTATTGTTCTTTCTTTTGCCATTTTAATTTTAGCTAAAGTTGAGAGATAAACAGCTTCAATGCCCCGTTTGCTCCTTGGCCAAGAGTGGATGTGATTTTCAGGCATATGAATGAAGGCACAATGGGTAAGAGAGCACTGGAGGCGTTTGTTCTTGGCATTCGCATCAAGGCAGAAGGCAGGAGAACACCATGCTGCGTGGTGCAGGGTGGGGATGCAGCAAACAGACCTCGTGGCTAAGTCCTGTCAGAAGCTCTATCAGAACTGAGAAATCCTCAGTGTGTCTGTCAGAAGGCAGACGGAAAAAGACTTCTTGCTCAAGTCCTTGTGATGGTAGAAATGTAGGCAATTAAAAGGAGTTCAAAGAAAATGTTAAGTTATTTCAGTAAATGCAAGTTATTGCAGTAGTTCAAGCAACTGAACTGTAAACAGCAGTGTAGGGTGTCCTGTAGCACAGCAGAACAGGATGTCCCAAACTGGGGGGAGAAGCTGGGACAGCCCATGGGTGTTACCTCTGTCCCTGTGTTAAGAGTTTGTCCTGTGACAGTCTTAGGAAGACACACGCATAGGAATGCTAAGGAGGGCAGAGGACAGCTGAGGCCTCAGAGAACCTGTGGAGCCTCACAAGTCTGGCTCTTTTTCTGAGCAAAACTCTTAATAATAATAATAGCGAGCTCCAAAATGCTGAATTTCTGCTGTATTCCTATGGCATCTTTTAGCATGTGTTTGTGTTTATGACAAACCTCAATGCAGGAGTTCTTTCATGATGTGAGGAGCCACTTCTATTTAGAGACCAAGCACATAGCCTCTTGCACTGTTGTTATTTTTTCTGCCTTGGGAGAGTATGTTCTCATGCGCACGTGCAAAGTTTTGTCTGAAACTGTGAAGATGTAAAGCCAGGGGCTGCTGGGGAGGACTGTGAATTGCCCATGGGCAGATGGGTCTGTCACATTCCTATGGGTGGAGATAGAAAATGCTGGGTTTGTTATTTTACTAGTGCCTCATGTGGGCCCATGCAGCAGCCAGCCATTAGCTCCCACCCCTCCTGCTAGCACAGGCTGGGTGTGTTCACACTGTCCTGGGAGGAAGGCCACAGCAACGTGGCCTTTTGGACAGGTTCCCTCGCCTACATCTTCTGGAGTGAGTTGAGTTGCCGCCACTACTTGCCCACGATGGTTGGGGAGCACTGAGGTGTTGTTTCTGCATGCACAGAAGCTGCTGCACTGTGTGGCCACGGGCTGAGGCTCTGCAGGAGCTGCTCAGGGCTGACAGCCTGCAGCAGCCACTCACATTAGTGTTTGCAGAGGTGTCGCAGCTTCTTCCTCACCCCCAGCATCACACACAGCTTCTGCTCCGTGCAGTAGGAGCCAACTGCCACTTTCCTGGAGTGTGACTGTCACTGGCACCTTCACCATTTTCATGTGTATAAAGATGACGCTGCTCTTAACAGTCTTGCTCCTCTTGTTCTTAGGACCTCAGATTCCTCAACACCATTCATGGGAAAGCCTAAATGTTTTCAGACCCTTACTCTCTGGTAAGCAGCTCTGTGTGTAGTTAGGATTGGCTGTGAGCACTGTTTGAAAATGTGGCAGGAAGAAGCCCTTTGCAGACACAGTTTGCTCTTTGAAAAGGAAGAGGGTGCCTGCATATGCCAGCTTGTGGCTGGAGATTTCATGCTGGAAATGGACAGGTGAGGCTTTGTGGAAGACTATATGTCTACCTCTGAGCTGACAAATGAGCACCAGGAGCAACAGATGCTGCAGAAAATCAATTTCCAAAGTGGGAAGACACTTTTTGTTGGTGTTTTTTTTTTTTGTACGTCTTTAGGCTTAGCTTGGTTTTGTGATTTTTTAGACAGGAAAGTTTTGCACTGTTTTTGGAACATCAGAAATCCTGTATTTTTAGTTAAGAGGAAATAACAGATGCTTCCTGTTAGTCACGATTTTTGACAGTTTATTAATCTTTCTCCCCTAGATCATTTAAAATGTTTTAGCTTCTTGGACTACAAGCCTAAAACTGTTGTCAGTGTCCTGCAGCAGCAAAAACCAGTTTGAGCTAGCTCAGTTCTACTGGTGGGACTGGGTACATCCATTTATTTGCTGCCCTACTATTGTAAGTTTTGACACGTGAGGTTACTTGAACCCCATCACAGCCAGCTGCAGGAGTGCATCCAAAGCGGTTTGTCACAACTCTGTGTCTTTCAGTGAGGCCTTTGAAACCCTCTCTCCCAGTGTCCTTTTAGACACACTGTCCAGCTATAAGATAAACCTGTGAGGAAAAAGAAAACCCCGTACAGCAGAACAAGCCTGAATAGCAGGTAGAGAACTAAGGGAAAGAATGAGGGAGGATAGGGGGCAGATTGATGACAGGCCTTCCCAGTATAGTGAAGAACTTCATTTTCTACACTTTACCTCCCTCCTGTTGGAAAAGTCACGGTACTTTCAGTACCTTTGCTCAGTTACTGCTTCAAGCATTTAAAACCTGTCTTTAACAGAGCGAGCGTGTAAACCAGTAAGAGCAGAAATGCAAACTTAAACCACAGAAAAACACCAGGAGGAAAAAGTTGTTATCTTTATTTAAAAAATACCAATAATACTGACATATTCAAAAAGCAATTCACACTCATACAAAAGTATTCATGTGTTCTCCAAAACCACTGTATATTAAATGTCAGCATTTTAATCATGTTTTGATTTACTAAAAATAGATGGTTTTTAGCCTAGTTATTTAAGCAACTGCAAAAAAATCAGTAAGACCAGCGTTGGGCATGTAATGCAGTAGGACTGTTTGGCAGCCTCGAACAACATTCCCATCCCTTATCACAGCCCCTGAGCAGGGAGCAGCTCACCCTGAAGAAGCCAGACGAGGGGCTGAGTGACACCAGATGTGGTCAGATCTGTACAGAGCTCTACAGACCACGTCCTCTTCTTTCCATTGCACTTTGGAGCTCACCAAATAACGCCGAACGAATGTCCTACAGCATTTTAAGGCTATACTATTTGAGAAAATTGACTGCTATCTTTCAAATCATCAGTGTGGACAGAGGAGGTTTAGTTCTGATTAAAAATAAATCTAAATAACAAGGCTTTTTGGAAACCACGCACAATAAAGGCTCAGACAATAGCAGTGCTCGCTTTCACTTTGAGCTCAGCTGGAACAGCCTCTCTGTTTGCTCCACCAGCACAAATAGCAGCATCAAGATTTTCTAAAATTATTCTCGTAGGGAAAGTAAATGTTACCAAGTCCCACTTCTTTTCACGCTCCAACTCCTGTTGCGTTTGCCTGACAAGATCTACATAGCTGTGGTTTGCGATATTGCCACAAGTCCATAGAGCGCCCCGTGCTGGCTGAAGCCAAACCGCCCCCATGGGGCAGCACTTCGGCACAGCCCCGTCTTTTCAACCGCCAAGCGTTCACTGCCCCTTGGCAGCGGTGACGTTCCAAACGTGGAAAGAGCTGAAACTAAGGGAGTTATGGCACAACGGGCATCTTAATTTATAGCTACCATTGGTCCTGAGGCTTCGTATCTTCCTCTGCCATACTGCAGCTGCACAACATTCCAGCGTCGACAGGCAGCCGGAGACATCAGGTCATATAGCGAGTAATAGCTCTCAGAGCATAAAGTAGTTCGGCTTGCATCCGAGCTTCTACCAGAAGCAAATTTACATGGACCTTTCAAAAGGAAAAGGAGTCACTCTTCAGCACAGTGCTCACAGAAACGTACTTCAGTAAGAGGAAGCCTGTGGGGCTGTGGTTTTCAGATTAGCTTTTGCCTTAGCAGTGGGGGAGAGCTTTGCGTGCTTCAGCTACCCAGAAAACTAAATTAGTTCTATCAGTAAAGCTTGCCGCAGGAGGAAAGATTTAAGAGGTGCTCCACTGCTGCAGCACAACGCAGCAGCAGAGCACGGGGGCGTTCAAGTAGGGCCAGGGTGGTAAGAAGAGCTGGGTAACCTGTAGCAGGCCAACTGCTTTAGCTGGGAAAAAACCAGACAAGCTTTCAAGCACAGAAGCCCTTCAGCAGTAGCTGACTACGTGCAGCTTGGAAACGACTGTGGAAGTTTAGCTTGATTTAGTTAATTAGTTGAAGGCAAAAGGGTGGTTGGTACCTGTGGAGCGGAGGGGGTTGTTAGCAAAGGAAGAGGTGGTAAGGTCGTTTGCCCCTGTGGGTCAGAGAGAGAAACACACAGCTAATTACACACAGGTAATTATCGCCCGGACAATGAGGGAGTGGGGAAGCAGCAGTGAAGCATGGGTGGGAAATCTTAACATGCCGTACAACTATTGCCTCTGCTGAGGGAGCGGCTCCTGGCTGCTACCAGAGGCAACAAGTTGGGTTGCCCAGCCCATCTCTCAGTGTAAGCCCTGTGCTTCTGTGGAGGGGAGATGAAGAACCATGTGGTGGGGGGGGATGAGAAATGTTTGGCTGGCTGTTCCGGCTGTAGTGGCTGTGCCTGGCTTCCCTGGCATTGCTTCCACAAGGATGGTGGGAACAGCTGCCGAGTGCCCGCAGGCACACGTACATTTACAGGCTTTGGGTTTGGGCACGGAGATGCAAAGTATAGGCTTTAAAGAAGGGTTTATGTGCTTGAAAGCTTGTAAGTCTAACAAAAAAACCAAAAACCAACATATGAACTATTTTCCTTCCACCCTTACATCATCATTTATAGTACCCTTATTACAACTGGGTATCTCAACTGTTTTCACAAGGAGTTAAACTATTATCTAGCAAACATTCAGCATGAAAATTATTTCAGTCTGGGGAGTGCTATTTCCTGAATGTAAGCAGAAGCCCAGTACCAGCGTTAGCCACATGCTGGCTGGGTATGTGTGCTGCTAGCAAGGCTAACAGATCTCCCACCCCTGCCCTTCGGAACGCACACAAACTGTACCTTCTCAGAGTGTTCAAACTGCCTCCAGAAGCTATCATACATTCTTTTTGTGGTCTTTTCAGGAGTGCAAACCACAGTCTTGATATAAACTTTAAAGCTGCGGTCCAACAACTGATTAATTTCACCATAGTCATAATCATCGTATCTGTTCGGAATTGAAAGAAACACTTTCATTTTCAAGAAGCAGTTATTTCACTTACACTCTTTTGTAGCTTCCTATGAGAAAAATCAACTGTTGTATAATTTGTACCACTATTCAAAGTTTAAAAAGAAAACAAAAACCAAAAAAGCAGCCAAACATGCACGTATTTGCTTAATAAGAGTTCTGCTTCAGTGAAAAACAAAACAAAAAAAAGCCAGTGGTAGGACATCTGACATATGTAAAAGAAAGGAATAAAACTGACCTTATTCCAAACATACAATGAATATAGTTCCAAATAGCTCGTCTTAGCATTGAGGTATCCACATCTTTGTGCATGGCCATTGTGTTGTAAGTCAGATTATAAGCAATGTGAAACTTCTCATCAAGTAGCTGTCCCACATCTGGGTAAAGACGATTAACCAAGGAATAGCCGTGGTCTTCCCAAGAGTAATCCTTAGAATAAGAACAAATGCAGACGTGAACTTGTGAAGGTCTGGTGCTTTTGTTCACTTGCTCGCCTTCTCACCCAGGGGCAGTAAAGTGCAGCACAGCGATTTCTGGGTGTGGTGTGTGGCACACCAAGCAGAGAGCACTTGAAGCGTCCTGCGAGCAGCTCCATCCTGCTTACCTGAGCTCGGAAGGTGGGCACGTGCATCCCGTGTCTGGAGAAGTCCTTGTAACCATAGCTGGTGTCCTCAAAGTGACGAGACACATCTCTTGTTGGTGCCGATTCTTCATCTTCTGTTAATTTCAAACAGAATTCCACACAATTTCACTAACAACAAACCACAACTGGAACTATTACAGAAAAATGGCAGTTTTTGTGGTTTTTAACATTAATACAGTTTCACCAGACTACCCAGATTAAAAATCTTTGGTACGGCTTAGTATGACTGCACCCATGCTTCCTTAGAGGAAGCTCCTTGAAAAACATCCAGATTCTTTCTTACAGACAAGCCTCTTTTTCTCCCTTCTTTTGTGTACATATCATCAAACCTGGCACTACTTTGTTTTTTGTTTTTCTAAAGCATTCACAAAACAAAACCAGGTGCTCCCAATCTCAATCCCTTCAATG